CGGGCGGCGGGACCACAAGTGACCACAGTAAGCCGTGACTCAGGAGAATTAAGTGGGCTCACCCCTCAGTGAGTGGTCTTTCGTTAACAAAACCTCAGAGCCAGCTCACAGGGGTTTCCTGTACACTCATGCTTTCCAAAGAGGTTCTGTTTTACAAAAGCGCTGGCCACCAAAGCTACTCACTCTCCACACCAAGTATCCAGGCTTTTGACCACGATCGATTCAGACGCCTCATGGTATGCTACTGTAGAGCTGCCCAATTATGGCAAAAAATAAAAAATGCTCGTCGCAATTATTTTGCTCCATATTGGGATCACGGTTACTGCGATTTTGCTCCTTACTGGACTTCTCGTCCTGTCTCGTTGTCTCAAGCTAAATTAAACCTACCACAGCCAGTAGGGGAGATAGTTTGAGGGGGTGTTTAGAGAAAGATGAAACCGCTGCAAAAAAAAAAAATGCAGAAAATAATTGTTTTATCTCATTTTTAGCGTTTCATAAATTCCGGAAGCCATAACTGTAATCCATCCGTCCATTTCCTTAACCACTTATCCGAGTGAGAGTTGCAGACGGAGGCTGGAGCCCGTCCCAAATGACCAACTCTCAGCTAGTTTCCTTCTAACATGTATCTCAGTGTAGTTACAATGTGTGCTTTTGACGGCTACAATCCTCGGGGAAATTGGAAAAATCTCTCACAACAGCAACTTTCTGTGGCTCGTTTTGTTCTCCATCGCAGACACATTTGTTTCGTCTCTGTCCTCTCTGGCCGTTTCCACTCTGTCAAGTGCTGTAATGCGGTCTTGCCATTACTGTTTAGGGAGAATTTACTGCTGCTTGTTTTGACGCAGTGCATCCCCGCTCTGCAGCACAAGTGGCAGAATTGTCAGGTAAAAATGAGACTGTAGAGATGCAAAATTGAAATTGATTAATTGTGCAGCCTTTCATTAAGGCATATTTTGAGGGAGGGAATGGTGACAAAGTAAAGGTTTTTATCCATTAGCAGCGATTCGATGCAAACAACTCGTCATTACACCAGCAAGCCTTTGCTTGTGCCAGAGGTTGACAGGCAAGTGTGAGCTTAATCGTCACCATCTCATTACTTCTTTACTACTTGACAGGGCAGTGCCTGATCACCTCTTTACCTGCGAGACTAAAGTTTCCTCTTATCTAAATGACTGGATAAATCGTTAATCTTTAATGATCTTCAGGGGTAATTGGGTCAGGACAGCGACTGAAACTAGAATATAGGTAAAAAAGTAGAACAAATTAAAAGAAAACCATGGCTTGCTGAACTGTGATAAGCACTTTTTTAAAATTGTGTTTGCAGAAAGCATTAGCCACACTTGTGCTGCTGGATCTTCCAAACACCTCAAAACTTCTACAAAGGTTTCAATGAGTCTAAACACTTATAAAAGAAGCAAGACGACATTTAAACTACCAGCAAAACTTGCCACGCACGTCTGTAAATGTTTACTGAAAGGGAGCAGGCAAGGAAAGCACAATGACCAACCAAGAGTTTGGCAGTTTCCCAGCAAACACCAGCAAGCACTGGACTAAAAAAGACTTCGTAATCAGAGGGTTTAGAGAGCAAAGAGAGGAGGAGGGCAGAAAAGCAGGGAATGATAGAGTGACCCTATGAATTACTCAGCAGACACGTCTTTCTCCCTCTTTCCTCCCTGCAGGAGATAATGGGGATCATTCGTCTTCTTGCCCTCCTTTAAGCCCCATCTCTTGGCCACTGATCTGCATCCAGATCAGCGGAGAAACAACACAGGTCCGTTTTAATGATGTGTAGAATTTGGTGGGAGGAGAAGCAGCACTTTTGAAAAAGCTACGTGTCTCACAAAGCCAGCCTACATAAAGACTGAAGGCCGAAAACAAAACACAGTTTCTCAATCAGCTTCGTACTGCAAGTTTGATGAAAGTTGGAAAGTCTGATGACACCACACTTATCTCTAGAGCCGTTTTCACACACGCAATGAAGCCTGAACTTTTCAGAGAACACATTAGCTGAACTTCTCTCGCTGCTACGAATTCTGTGATAGCCAAAAGAGCCCACATGAGAAAGGAAGGGGTAAGCGTTCTGTTATATAGACAGCAAGCGTGTGGGCGCCGTGTATGATGCCTCCACTGCACTCTAACCGGGCAGCTCCCTCAAAAACACGTCAAGATCAGACTATTCCCTGCTGTTGCCACACTTGGGATAGAACAACTGTGGAAAATATCCAGATGTGACTCCCGTGTATCTGTCTGAGGTCTACATGAGAGAAAGAGCAGAAATAGCAGCAACCAGAATGGATCTGGCTTTAAAGCACCAACATCTGGCTACCAGTAGCTATATTGCTGGAGATGCTTTAAGCTTTGAATGTCACTGGTTTAGTCATGAATTTCATGGAGGAATGCTAAGAATCGCACTTTTACTGACTTTAAACCACTTTCACATTTTATCCAGAGTTTAAGTAAGTCAGTGTGCTCACTTATCCTGCTCCAGCGGAGAAGCCTCAAGTCTGCACTGCAGAGCATTTTCCAATTATTAAAATATATGGGCCTTTTGAATAAGGAAACATCGCTGAAGTACGCTGCATATTCGCAATATTAAAGGGACAGAGAAAGAGTTACTTAGGCGACATTTTCCATGAAAAACAAAATCGGCTGAGGACACCAGCAGAGTGAAATCAAGCATTTCTGAACACGTACTCACTGTGATCCAAATACAAGATTTGAAAATACGAGAATCAATGCATCTCTGGAGAAAACAGTTTTTATTATAAGCCCAATCAGAGTGCACAGATTGTTTATTTCACACATCAGCAGGCCTAAGATGCTGACACTGGAATATCATCTCATGCTATCCAAACAGCTAGCTGCAGACAAACTGCTTAAGAAAACATAAATGACGCATCTATTCAGCTTCATGAATTATACAATGCTAGTGCTCCCTCTCACTCACAAGGACACACACAACTGTTGGCACTCTCGTGCATGGTAAAAAAACCCAAAACAAAACATCAAGATGCGTCTCGCCAACAGACATAGACGTGCCTCATGTGAAGTCCCAGAGAGAAGAGCTCAATGAACAGGATAGAAAACCTGTGCGACTCTCAAGTTCTCATCAACTTCTCATAAAATGAGTCATTTACTGAGCCCTGGGCCAGGATGGCAGAGGGGAGGTGACTGAGGAGCAACATCACAAGGTGAAAAGTTCACAGCAGCACACAGGGATATGCAGAGAGAAGGGGAAAATAAATGACATTCCCTTTTCTTTGATGTGAGAGAAAATAGAGAAAATACAGAGGTGAGGAGAGAAAGTGAGACCGAGCGGGTGGGGGGAGCGGGAGAGACAACAGCGTGTATCAGTGGAAGAGAAGCTAGAGGAGATAGAGCTATCAGAGCTTCAACATGGCAGGATGTGACATTTGGAGAGCAGGAAGAGGAAACTGGACAGATATAGATTAGTTTGGTGGCTGCTCCTGAAAACATGTCTATCCCATTAGAGGGTTTGGGTCGCAGTTAATGTGCTTATCAAAGCACGCACCTCGGGTGTACTCCTGAACCCGGCGTGATGCTGCTGCACAACACACAGGAAGAGAAGACTCAGTCCAGATTTTGACTTTTGACTTTCTGATCAGTGGGTTTTCTTTTACTTCACGCCATTTTTTTTTTCAAGTTTATAGAGTTAACATCTTCTCCAGAGTTGATGGGAAAAGAGGTCCCACCCTGGGGTCAAATTCCAAATCTAATCAGACTTGAAGTAGGTCATTAATTAGTCAGACTTTGCTGCAGCTCGGCTAATTTCGCCACGTGAGAAATAAAGAAGTGGAGTTCAACAATGAGTCTCATTGAATTAACAGGAAACAATGGAAACTGTTGGTGAGAACAAGAGTCTTTTTCATCAAAAGCACTGCACATGAATATAAGCCCATCTTTATTTACTCAGTGCCGAGCTACGTGCCAATGCTTCAGTGTAATGATCACCAAATATGAGGAAGTTTAGGAGCTGTTTACAGAAAATATCAAGCGAATTTCAAACTGCAACATTTAAAATTTCTTTAACTCGCTTCACTAGTAGTGAAATTAAATTTTTATGGATATAACCGCCAATAAAAACTCATTACTACCTTCTTATTGGAGACTATTATAACTGTTACAGTCTGTGCTGCAGAAACCTTAACTTTTATAAGTATTTGCAAGCAACCAACAAAGACCGAAAACCATCATGATTGGTCTAAAAGATTAAAAAACAAAAAAGATTCATAAAAAAAAATCACCTAAAAGTAAAATATAAAACCAAAATAATTGAGCAAATGATGAGATTTCAGCTTGTTCTAACTTTTTCTTTGCTTGGGTTTATAATTAAGAACTAATATAGCGTCAAACAGAAGACACGCCTACAAGTGCGACTTAAGCACAGTAATAAAACAAACAAGCAAATGAACAAGGAGCAATATCCACAAAACAAAATCACCCACATGCTTACTTTTCCCCTTCATTACACTTATTGGCACATATTTGAATAAATTGGCCAGCTTGTTAGGGTCAGGGTGTTAAGTGAGGCCTCTGACTTTGTAACTTACTTTTTCTACACCTTTTCAAATCTTTCCTCAGACCCTTTGGTGTTATGCTCTCACATATCAGTATCATGGGTGTGTCGGTGCATCTGTTAGGACAGAGCCACCCGATCAAATACTTGGAGTCGTAACTGTGTGGTATTTAAAAACTTCGGCACTGCCTTCATTATTAGGGAAACAAAACGCTGTCCGGTCTGGTTTAATGTGACCCGTCCCTGAGCAGTAGTCACCAGCCAAACTAAGGCAGAAGTTCAGTTTGATGCAAGATTCCTTGGATTGTTTTTTTCTGGTGATGCTGGCATATTTTCAAACACGAGTACAAAACCCAGATAAAAGGGCGGTGGTTCTGATTGCTGTCACACGCGTGGATAATGCGTAAAGCGCGCTCCGGGCCACTCGCTGTGCTAGTTTGTGTACATGTTGTTGGCAACTTACCCTCCGACAGCTCCAGTTCCAGCTCCGCCAGCTTCTCCCGGACCTCAGCAGGCAGGGTCATAGCGAGAGCCGGCGTGGGCTCTAACATCATCGTCAGCAGCCCGGTGGAGCTCCTCTCAGCCATGGTGGTCCAGCACGAAGGGCGAACGGATCCACTGGTGCCCGGTGAGGAGAGGACAATGCGACCAAGCCCAGAAGATTATCAATGAAACAACAACAGCCCCTCCTCACCTCACTTGGTTCAGGCTCAGAGCAAATAGGGTGTTGGTGCCTCCTCTCCCGTGTGGCTGCAACGTCGCACAGATGTGTGAGAAATGTCTCCAAACGTCATGACACGGCTAGCTGCGGGGCTAGCAGACACACCTGGATCCGTGTTTCCATGTAGGGTGTTGGGACAGGGCCTTGCCAGCGTCTCCCAGCCTCTAGTCTGTCCCTCCTCGGCACTGTCGGCGGCTGCCTGTTCTCAACTGTGGAGGGAACTCATTCAACTCCTCGCTCGCTTCCCACGGCGCAGTCGCCATTGCATCATAGCAACAGCAGCCCCAACCGTGCGCGTTCACGAGGCCCCCACTCGTGCGCTTGCACGGTGCATGTTTGTGCGCCGCCTGCTCCTCCGCGTACAGCTCGCCTGCCTCCTGCTGTCACCCAGCGGTTTCGTGGCACACATTATGACCTTTACCTTTACTGGATTTCTTTTGTACTGTGTTTCATTTCCGTACGTTGTCTTTCTTTTCATACATAAAAAAACAAACAAAAAAACAGCTAATTTTGATGAAGCTTTGTGAAGAGGTGGAACACGTGCTGAAGGGAGCTGAAGTTTTGATTTAAGTGTCTGCGCTTAAAGATTCAAGTTCAAGCGCTGAAAGAAATGTAAATGTTACACTTAGAAATGCACTGAGCTAAAAGTGGAAGCTGGAGTGGAATTCTTGAAATAAATCACTGACGGTTCAAGTGGGCTTTCAGCTATAGAAGCATTATATTATAAGGCATATAAAGCATTATAAGGTAACATATAGATAGATGTGGACATTTAATAAAACAAAACACACTGTATATTATTCGTCTGTGTATAACCAACTGACATTTTAGGCTCTAAAGGAAGCAGGAAGAAGTATAACCTTATATGATCTTATCTCTCCTTCCTTTCTTATGACAGCAACATTCCTCTCATTTTTAAATGGCCAGCCAATGGCTTCTATACGCATACAGGTGCATTCATGCCTGCACATTCATATGCATACAACAAAGATATACAGTTATACATACCTGTACCACAGCCACAGACACCATTACACTCACAGACCTACATAATCTGTGTTCCATTGTTTTATATTTATACTACAATATTTATGTATGTAGTCTTTCTCTCTGTGTGCCTGTGTGCATATATGTACATTTACCTTCAAATACCTCTGTACATTCACATATAGACATTCAAAGTATGTTTAATTAATTTTTAAAAAATAGTTTGTTAAACTAGAAAATGTTTCATCATTGCTTCATAGCGTTTTTCATACTATTCCAGTAAACAAAGTTCATATGGCAGCACTCAAGGCTGGAAGCCTGGAGAGGTCAGCATCATCAAACCTAGTCCTGCAAGAGCTTCACTTCCTACTGCTGTACTTCGCCTTTACAGAACCACGGCATATTTCACTATATTTATGTATACTTTCATTTTTTACATGTAGCATAACTGATATTGGAAGACAGAATCTGCAGTGTGCAGCTGCACATGGTTTGTGATTTTCTTGCAGTAGTGCCTGTCAACGCTACTGAGACCAGTAGATCCAACTTTGATGCTCCCAGCAGGTTCTAAAGTGGACAGTACCACAGTGTCTGTGAAAAAGAGGTCAACATATGTCATAAAGAGAGAAATAATTACGCGTTAATTTCACATTGATGGCAATTGTGCGCAGAATCTTTAAAAAGCGTAATGAGGGGTCTTTAAGGTTGGATTTGTAGACTATTTATTTTATTTGCAGAACTCTTTGTTCAAAGTGGAGGCATGGGCATTTACATTTACATAACATGTGATGTCACTGCTTTTCTGTGATTCCAGAGTTTCTTGGGAAATAAAATACTACATGGCCTCGGTGAGTTGAACTTCTAAAAGGTCAAGTGATGCTCAAATCTAACCATTGTACCAGTCATTATTTAAATTTTTCTTTTAACCTTGTTGTAATACAACATGTCATAATATGATAGAAAATGTTAAAAATAAAAGTAAAAAACACATATAGACTATGCAAACATGTTTTTTCAGATGCAATATTAAATACAACACAATTAACTTTTATTAAAGGCGAAAAATAGCTTATGGATGTCAAATTTAACATTTCAATTCATACAAAAATCTTTGTATGAAATGTTAAATTTGTATCAACTATGTTAGCATCCTTCCAATTGCACTGCAGCACACTAACATAGATACATATTTTAAAACAAACGAAAAACTGTAATGTACTTACATGGTGACAAAAACAAACTACAGTAGTGGGTTAAATTACAAAATTACAAAATGAATTAGAGGGAATTCTATTTACATATACATAAATATATATAAGTACTTAAAAAAAGCATGATAGTGTTTCCTTCATTAAGAGAAATTTTCAAGGTTTCTGCATACATTTTAAAAATAATAATTTAAAGCACAAATTAGCTCAGATTGTTTTCAACAAGACAAAAAAAATGTTACAAATGCACAAATGTACAGCATGGAGTATAAATAAATATTGCAAGTCATCTTTAAGATTTAAGCCTACTTTTTTTTGCTTTCCCCCCATACACTGTAACTTTCATCACAGTCCGGATGACTGGGCGTCCTGTTTGGTAAACCTTTACATTTTAAAATGTTGCTGCCTGTGGAGTTAACGTTGGGAACTGTTGTAGTTGATTTATCTGCTAAAATTATAAATCTGTTGAAACACAACATATATTATTAAACATGCACCAACACGCTGGGTGAAAATTAAAGTTAATAATAACAATAAATACACATTTAAAGTTTTATAACATGTCATGACTACATATGACCAATAGGTGTCACTATATACGCAATAAAAACGTTCTTCTTGAGCAAGTTCTGAGCTGCATCAATACTTGTGTGTCCGACACTGTCAGCCGTAGTATACAACTGGAAGGGCAACAAACTTGATTGAGGGCCATTTGACTCATTTGCTACATAAAAAAATGAAATAAAATAAAGCGAAAAACAGAAATAAAAAGACAGAGAAGCCTTCATGCTGTCATTTATGTGTAATTGATTGTGTTCTCAAAGCAAACTATGTCTGCTATGTTTGTGAAGTTAATCCCCGATGAGCTCTGCAGTTAATGAGTCAGCAGTGTGGTAGTGACTCTAACGCACTATATACCTCAGCCCGACTGCACTCTACGACTTTAGCCGATCAGCCGCTGCATGGCTTAGCTGCTCTGGTCCCTAAAAATTTCATTTCCAATCGTACCACTGAGCTCTTTAGAATGACCCATTTTTTCCACAAATGTTTGTAAGGGCAGACTTCACGGCTAGGTGCATGATTATGGAGACCCGGGGCATTGGGATGGAGACACCTGCATTCAAAGATTAAGAAGTCCACAAGTATAGTTTAGCTGCGCAAGCTGATGAATGTCCTATTTTTTTTATCACAAGGAAACAGGACCTGAACAGGTGCCTCCGCTATAAAGTCAGTGGCCTCCTCAGTGCTGCAAAAGCACTAAGTTACTGCTAAGCAAATAATTAACTTGAGTTCGAGCTGCCTTAACTAATTATCAGTGTGGCTGTTTAACTTTTTCGTCCCCACACTAACTGAATTTAACATCTAGTTACATAAGGGTATCAGCACAATTCAGCTGAGGAGGCACAGTGACTCTAAGGCCTATCTGTAACACCAGTACTGGTGCCAGATACTTCACGGTGTTTAGCAAATAAAAAGTAAATAAATTCTTTATTGTAAGTACAGATCTCTCCTCAGGGTGTGTTTTACATCAAGGTGGTAGCTGGCTTGAGGATTACTTCTGCTGTGTTCAAAGACGACGTTGTTCACCTCCATTTGAATATCATCAATCTTAATTTTCCTGTAAGAGCACAAACAAATAACAGTTTAGCTTATAAGAAACTTATAAGAAAACTTCCATGATGATGAGGTAAAGTTAAATAGTGTTTATACCTGTTTTGGGCTTTGTTTAAAGCATTTGTCAGAGCCTTCACATACACAGAGCTATGTTCCTCTTCTTCCAGCTGACACTCATCTGTCCAGCAGTGACTCCAGAACACATCTGCATCCATAGGAATAGCTGCTGTGACAGCCCCATCACAGCCATCTGTCTCGAGGTGCCCATCGTCCGGGTTCATCCTGGGGCGCAGGGACAACTTAGGTACGTTGTATCTCTGGATGAAGAAAAGTTTGGGCTTGCCCGCCAACAACGGGCATCTGTTAGCATTGAAAAGACGCCTGACCTCGTTGATAGAAAATCCATTGCCAGTCGAATCTGTGCCCAAAAGTTGACTTTCTGTGCCACGGCTAATGATGCAGCACACAAAGCTATCATTTCTGAGTTTCTCCATCTTATCGAGAATATTTTCGAGAGCTGAAAACACCTCATCAGAACTCAGATACTGGTGGAGATTCACGCTGAAGCGAAGCGCCTTAAATGTTTGTTCCAATTTTTCTGAAGGAGTGAGCAAAGATGAAACGAGAATTTAAGCATCACCTTGACAATAATTTAAAAAGACAAATGTAGCTTTACATTTTTAAAACACAGATCAGTGGCAACCAAAACTACTGAAAGGGTAAGTGCACATTTATGATCTTAATACAATGATTAAAATGCACATTTTAACAGCAAAAACTTGCTACGTAAAAACCTGTTACGCAGTTATATGCAGCTGTAAGGCACTTTTAATTAAATTTGAGCTACTGTGCTACACTGTTTGTTTTTGAATTACACTAAATTTATGTTTCAGCTGTAGTTACAACAGACTTTTTATAATTATACTGCTACAATAAAACACACGTTAGGCTTATAAAATACAACACATTGCTCTTTCTTTCAGAAGCTCACAGCCTTTTGAATTTCCCCTGCCTTCTAAAATAGCTACATTTTGACAACTGTTAATAAACCACAAATAAGTAAAATCAGCTTCCCTTTTCACGAAAGCTGCAGACATAAAATAAATTCCCAAAGAAATACAAATCTGAGTAGCACAATAGTTTTCTTGTTCTTCTCCCATTAAGAATTTTTCTAGGATGGGGCTGGTCCCTCGTTTGGAAACTACCCAATAATACATCGAATACAGATAAGCGTATAACTGTAGGTTTATCCGGCGTACACAATGATGCATCAGCTTTAAAACCTACTACAGCATGTGGTGATCATCCTTTTATTTTTCTCCCCCAGCAGGATTATAAATGCACGACTATACCTCTAATTAAGGATTTCTACACTGTGATTTTGGTACTTCCGTTTAAGTAGAAAAGTACAAAGTGCTTTGTGTCTCACCTCCATCATTACCCACGCAGTCTATGATCACACAGTGTCCTCTGGGATTAGTGTTAAATTTATAGCAATCTGGCTGACTCTGAAATTCAAATGAGATTGTGGGGAAATGTCGTAAATGCAACTGAGTCATTCGACACTTGAAAATATAATCAAAATACTCAGAGAAGGAGGGGAATCCTCACCTCAGAGCTCGGCTCTAGACAGGCACCTGATCGTGGGCTCACTTCTACTGCAAACAAAGAGTGATATGGTTAACAGAAGAAGAAAGTAAACACCAGGGCCAACAGGGGGTTTCCAGCTGTAAAGCCCCTGCGAGACTAGATATCAGTCTCATGGGGATGAGAAGGTATTTTGATTAAAAATATAGTCTTAGGCTACACATCTGTGGTATTTTGCTAGACTTACCAATGCGGCGCTCTTGTGTGACATGCTGTAGAGGAAACGAAAGAGGAGATATTTTTATGGTTTTAGTGGAGAAAACATTATGTGAACTAACATCTGCAAAGTGTCTCACTCACAGAAATTCTACGGGGTTGCTGCAGAGACAAATTTAGCTGCTGTTCGGGTGCCCCAGCTGTAAAAGACAGGCATATATACATACATAATGTCTCTGTGTTTGCTATTCTATTGTTGTCGCTGTTTAAAGAAAAATTATCCTATTACATTTGAAACAAGCCAACACGTTAAATAAACAGCATTAAATTAGTACTGAAAATTGAATCTACCCTACTGCTGTGGTTGCAGGGGTTAAATAAAACTGAAATGCATTTGGATGTCATTTTTTCATGATCATAATCTTTTAACAAAGTTGTTGAACATTATAACAGAGCACAGTCACAAAAAAAGTCCATCCATCCATTCTTTTTCTTAGCTGTTTATCCAGTTTTGGGTCAAGGGTTCCAGTCCCAGGTGAACAAGGGCCAAAGGAAGGCTACATTCAGAACAGGTCGTCACAAACTAAAAAAAGGTGTTTACCCTTAATACTGAGTTTTTGGTATGGAAAATGTAATAAACTTCCTATTCTTTGCTTACTACACTCACCAGCCACATCATTAGGTACATCTTGCTAATACTGGATAGGATGCCTTTTTGCTTTCAGAACTGCCTCCATTCTTCTCATTGGCATAGATTCAACAAGGTGAAGGAAAAACATTCCTCAGAGATTTTGGTCCATGACAACGTGATAGCGTCACACTTCACATCAATGTGAAAAATCTCCCGTTCAACCACATCCCAGAGGTGCTCTATCAGACTGAGATCTGGTGACTGTGGGGGCCATTTGATTGCAGTGAACTCATCGTCATGTTCAAGAAACCAGTATGAGACGATGCGAGCTTTGTCGTGTGGCGCGTTATCCTGTTGGAAGCAGCCATCAGAAGATGGGCACACTGTGGTCATAAAGGGATGGACATGATCCGCAACAATACTCAGGTAGGCTGTGGTGCCAATAAAATATCTCCCACACCATTACACCACCACCAACAACAGCACAAACCATTAATGCAAAGCACAATTGATCCAAATCCATGCTTTTTTATTATTTAAGCCAAATTTTGACCCTACCATCTGAACCATCAGAAAGTGAAACTCGGCAGACCAGACCACATTTTTCTGATCGTCTGTCGCCCAATTTTGGCGAACCCATGGAAATCACCTGGTGTGGTGTTCTGCTGCTGTTGCCCATCTCCTTCAAGCTTCAACCTGTTGCGCAATCAGAGCTCATCTGGGTACCTTGGTTGTAACGAGTAGTTATTTGGGTTACTGTTGCCTTCCTATCAGCTTGAAGCAGTCTGACCCTTGTCCTCTGACCTCTGAGATCAACATGGCATTTTCGCCCACTGGATAAGTTCTTGTTTTTGTTTCGTTTTCTGTAAACCCTAGAGATGGTGGCGTGGGAAAATCCAAGTAGATCAGCAGTTTCTGAAATACTGAAATAGATATTTGCATTAATTATGAGTGATTGTGAGTATCGATAGTTTCGGGTATGCTATACTGATGAGGAACATAAAACTTAACCCAGTTCTGTTTAACTAGTAGGGAAGTGTTTCCCACTTCTCACTGCATAACTGTTACAAACCTTTCTCGTGGCGATGCTATTTCAAGCCCTTCGGTATATAAAGCGAAAAGGGAAACACAGACTGACCTGAATTCTTGTAAGTGGTCAGTTTTTTGACTAGATCGATCCTGCCAATGTTTGTCAAGCAGTCCTCTACGAAGTCAAGTCTTTCTGGAGAGACTGAATCCAGCTTTTCAAGTTCAACAATGATATCCAGAAAACTCTGTAACACAAAAGAAATGGCAAAAATGTCTAAAATGTTTTTGTTTTTTTTAAATTAATTAATTACTTAAATTTTTTTTTTTTGGGGGGGG